GAAGAACTTTCAGGTGTGAATGGATTCTTAAGTTCACGTAGTTCAGAAAGAAAACGTGATACTCTGGATCTTTTATATAAAGATAGCACTATGAAGGAGAATTGTAAGCAAGGACTGTAACATCAGTTTCCTGTAGTTAAGGATGGGGAAAGGGACGGAAATAACAAGCGTGTTTTAAGATACTGCTGTTTATCTTTTAAAGCACTAACTTACCAAAAATATTAATACGGACCTAAATCTTGTTGTCTTCTGTGTTATGTAAACACTTATTTAAAAGTTAAGCCTTTTTTCCAATCAAATCTTTCATTGTGTTCTTTAAAACACATTCTTTTGGATGCATTCCAGTTCACTCACAGCTTTGTCTCTGAATTATTTTGAAAGAAAAAGGTTTCTTAGCTTCAGGATTATAAGATAATTCCTCTTTATTCACAAATTCTTGTTAACTTACTTGCAAGAAAACTCTCATTCCACAGTATAAAGCCTGAATACCTGAATACCCCTGGAACATGACATGAGTTTTAATGTCCTCATTTCTGTTTTAGTTCAGTTTGTCTAGAACAGCGAAAGCTCTTGCTTTTTGTGTGAAGTTTTGAGAGTAACTTAAAGACAGTTAACACAATCTTTTATTTACACCAAAAATCAGGTCAGCTACTGAAAGCCTCTTGGCCTTTTTATTAAGATTAAACATAAAGTATAGCAAAATCCGAGCCCACTTAGAGGTTCTTCAGAGCGATTATAGAGTTCAGGCTTCCTGAGGTGGGGTTGAGAGAGGCAGAGCAGTAATTGGTCATGTTTAGACCATTTTTAATTTGCTCATGATTAGTGTCTTTGACTTCTTGCAGTTTATTGCAATCCTAAATAGTGCCATGAGGAGCATTTGCATGCAAAGCAGAATTGGTAAAAAGCAGTGCTCACTAGGCGAAGAAATAGCATGGGCTGTGTTTCACAACACATTTGAACTGTCTCTTTGCAATGATTTCTTCAGTTCAGCATCCTTTATTCTTTTTTATTTGTTTGTTTTAAATGAGGTCACACTGGGAGCAAATTAAGAACCAGGAGCAGAGCTGTGGTTAGGGGAGGAAAACAGGATCTTAGTGCTTCAGCTCCTCTTAGCACTACCTCTCTGTGCCCAAATGGAGGTCTCTTTGGTAGCACAGCTCAGTTCCACACGTGCACATGCACAGGACTGGGATTAAACCAGGGGTATAGGAAAGCGCCTCTCCCCCAAGATGGTTTTGGGGAGAAAGGGAGGACAGATTTGTCCTTTGGGTGACCCAGTTGTTACTAGCAGGGAACATGCTCCTGCTATGAGAGAGTGGGTCAATGAGTTTGTTTGTGCCATGAAATGTGTGAAGGTGGTATTGTGCAATTGCGTTAGTGGCCACAGTGCTCATTCCAACTTTATAGCTATTGTGCTCCAAGAAATACGTTTTTCAGGAGTGTCTGACAAAATGGGAATTTAACTGGTAAGTGTGATTCAACCTGGAGTAATCACAAGTGCAAGGCACAGAGATACCCTGTTAGTTCCAGTCCACATAGTAATGGACAGCATCCTATCAGTTCTTTAATATATTGAAAAAAGCTCAAATCCTGTGATATATCCAGTATTAGGCATGTACCTATCTGCCTGATATTTTAGAATATCTGAAATAAAGCTAAATATCCGAAAATTAAGCTAGAACCCTTTCAAAATGTAAAGTAAGAGAAAGAACCTCTGTATATATATGTACCCATGAACATTACTAGTAAGATAAACTATAGGGAATTTATAGGTCTACGTGCTTTGTGTCAGAGAAGGAAAGCTTCCCCATCAGCATTCCAGCTGCATCTGTGCTTTTGACAAAGAAGGTACAAAAGCAGTTATCAGGGAGTAGCCTACATGCTCTAAATTTAGTTAACCCCCGCCCCCTTTTTTGTGAGAATTTGTTTTCTGTTTTCAGTAATCTCAGAAAGTATCATATTCAAACCAAGCAAGTAGATAGGTAGATAGCCACCTCCCAAGTACAAGGCTATCATAACTTATAATAAGGTAATAATCCATGTGACTGTTACTTTCCATATTCTGTAATATTCATTGCATCTACTAGGAGATCAGTGTAAGACACATCATAATCAATATGTTTTTGTGCAGTAGGTAGTGAACTTCCAGAATTCATTGCCACAGGAGGCTGGCTTGACGGACAGTACTAGCAGATTTCAAAAAGAGGTTAGAGCAGTTCATGGGCAATGGGTCTAAATACTAAATAGATCCTAAAGAGAACAAGAGAGGTACCCTTTAAAATCCCTAACAGGGCGATTTTGGATATGGTCAGAGTATAGGGGGAATGGACAGCAGAATATTGCTGTGCTCGCATGCTTTCCCTAAACAGCTGCTGTAGTTGCTGTCACTGTCAGCAGCAGCATGCTGGCCTGGATGCTGGAGCATGTCTCATGTTCTTAACTCACTTCTGCCTGACTAATGAATTGTTTAGACCAGAGTGTCTCAAAGCTTCCCAGCAGCACAGGCAAAATTTAATTTTGCGGCTGTGACAGAATTGCTGCTTTAGGCACCATCCTGCCTGAGAATGGTGAGATGGAGTGAGAGCTGTGCCCAGCCACTGTGATGTGTTGACCATGGGCCAGCTGCCCAGGAATTGCTCTTGCATTGCCACTAAGCCAGCGCAGACTAGCTTAATATTAGCAGTTAATTAACAGGCTCCCTGACAGTGCTCTGACACCTAGAGTATGTGCTTCTCCTCTCTAAGCTGTGGTTTTTCTGCCACTATCAGTTTGCAGCCATAGCTAACCACTCTGCATATGACTTCAGTTGATACACTAAAATGCAGCAAAACTCCCTGAATGATTTATATTGAAGCATCCATTTCATAGTTTTTTGTTACCCTGTGGGTTTTCCCCTGGGATATGCCTTCTAATTTCAATGAAATGTAAGTTCCATAAATTAACATTATATGGAAGTTGCTTTAACATACTATTTATGAAAGGAATGGTGTATATTCTAGCATAAGCATTTCAGAGTTTCCACTCCTGGGATTACAAATTCACAGTAAACTAGCACATTGGAAACAATGAGGAGTTTGCTGGAAAATTGAGCACATCCACCTTAAATCAAAGCAAATCACACCTTAATGTTGTGACCTGTGCAAGGCATTTTTTTCTAATACGTACTCGAGCAGCATGGACATCTAGATAGAAAAACAGCAATCTCAATTTTCCTTGTTTTAATTAGGCAGAAAGGAAGGTCATGCGCGCGTGTGTGTATGTATATTTAGGCCCCAGCTCTTGAAAGTGTACTTAGGAAGTATGTTATGCCATGTTTACTGTTAGGTGTAAATAAAGCCCATTACATTCATGGTTTTAAATTCTTGGCTTAAAATGTGTGAATGTTGGGGCATTCCCTGAGTATATGATCTTTTAAAATATCATAGCCCCAGAAAATAGCCAATCTAGGTAGCAACTTCACTGATTTATCAAGGTGCCATCCAAGTATTACTAAAATGTGTATAAATCTCTGGTACTTTTCAAGAGAAACATACGATCTTTTACTAAATAAGTAAGTATATAGCAATAAGTGGATTTCAGAAAACTTCACTTTGTTTGGATGTACTGTATCAACTTAAAAGAAAATCATGTCATTGCAGTCAATAGGACTACATTTTTCTGTGCATGAAGCCACAATTTAGCAAAATATCTCTATTTAGATATTTAAGTTTAATTCTTATTCCTAAAGCTCATTTTATTTAATAGTCTTTAAGCACCTGCATAGGTTAATCAAATTAAATATTTCTTGAATAAGACTAGTGACTAATTTGGCATCTGCTAATTTTATAACAGCTTTTTATATTTTAATTACTTATTCGTACAGCCGCATACTTTGCCTAACGTTCTCCTACCAAAAATGTGCGAATCTAGAGTTGCTGTTGACTGCAATTACGGGCATCAATCTGTTCATGAGATATTCACGATTCAGTAACCCAACTTTTCGTTCATAACCACAGACCTATCTTTTTCATGGTTTCCCTCATGTGAATTTAAAAGTAGATCTTGTAACATAGAAGTAAAGACCACCTGCAAGTAATAAATGCTTCCTGTTGTCTGTTAGACAAATTCCGTGAACTCTGGAGCTTCTTGAGCATCTTTGGGAAAAAGTATCAGTTGCCCATGGGAGGATACAAGGGTATCTACATGACAGTGGGTTCCCTTGTCCCTAGCTTGGCTAGGAGGTTATCACTGGCAGTCCTTTCCCTTTGGCCTGTCTGATGTGAATTTATGATGTACAAGAGGAAAGCTTTCATGAAAAGAAAATCCAGGATTTTGAGTCAAATCTCCTATTGCTTGTGGTGACACATGGAACAAGCAATTATTTGAGGGAGGAAGAAGAAAGGGTAGAGAAAGGGATGTGCTATGACAAAATGCAGCAACAGAAACAAATTTAGACTGTGTGTAAGATGTGCTGCTTTGAGATTGATATGCCTGGTTCAGGAAGCACACACAGAATGTATACAGGCACTTGTGTGAATGTTAACAGCCTAAATAATTGAAGAATCCATTTACAAACCACTTGCATCTACCTCAGCCTGCATGATTTCAGATGCCTGTCTACCACGTTGGATCGTGTTGCTCATCACACAAACAAAAGCTGTTTCTACGTAGCTTGCTGAACATAGTCCTGCCAAATAACTTGCCAAACTGCATACGGTCAAGCCTTGCTAGCACATGTTTTTAATTTAAGGAAGACCTTGGCTTAATGCAGTACCGTTCTGTTTTCTTTTCTGCTTTTTTTTTCCTTCTTATTTCTTCACTTTCTTTAATAGTTCTGATCTGATACTAAGTGGCAAGGTTGTAATAGTGCTAGCTCATTATAGCCAGTAACTCAAATGATCAGTGAGTATTCATTGATAGTACGATATTATTCATAAGTTTATAAGGTTGCAGCTTCTAATGTATACCTTGCAATATGTGTTTCACGAATCTGTTTACATGTATTGCTTTGGATCCGGCAGGCCAGAACCAGTATTGTGGACAAAAGATGGTGGAGAGCTACCAGATCCAGAAAGAATGGTTGTCAATGGCAGGGTCTTAAGCATCAGTTTTCTTAACAAAACGGACAATGGCACGTACCGATGCGAAGCAAAAAATCCTATTGGCCGAAATAGCACAGAATATGTCCTGATAGTACATGGTGAGTACCTTTTCTTTAATTTTTTGTTGCATATTATGCATATGTAGCATTTCAAGCAAGTAAAGCAATTGTTTATGCTCAAGTGGAAGAATAGCCAAAAAAAAGCGGAAAGTGTAATTGCACTTTTATTGATGCTATCATCTACTTAACCATCTAGTTATGGGAAATATGTTTACTTCCTTTTATTGGCATACCTCTATTCATACATATTTTACAAAATAAATTATTTTATATTGTGAACTTCTTGCTAAGTTAACACCTGGAAAAATATTTCTCAGTGTATTGGGTACTGTTGTATGTAAATAATTGCCTCAGGCACATACTGCTCAGATATAGCTGGTTACAAAAGGATATATGAAGGCAAATAGCAAAATACCTTTTTCTTAGGCTTTTTGTTTTGTTTTTTATAGACTGGTAAAGACAGGATATCAGGTACTTTTTTTCCAAACAAGTTATAACCTGTTACTGAGCAATTTCAGTTTTACAAGTTAGCTGATGATCATAAAGATGCCTTGGAATATCTGGCTTAATGCTACAATCAGTCCTCAAGAATATGTAGTGACTTAAATTCGTGATACTTCTAATAAAACGGAAAAACAGGAAGGTTCACATTGAATTACAATTGATTTGCTCTGCTTAATTAATTAGGTAACAAGATATGTCACAGTTAAAGAATAAGAGCTTTTATATTAATCATGAAATCGTTTGATATAACTCAGGTATGGGAGAGGCCATAATACAAAATTTGCATTTGCCTTTACCAAAGTATTGCAATATGGATCTAGCAGTCTCAAAATAAAATGTTCTGTTATCACAGATGTGTATGTGATAATTAATGGAATTCTATAGTTTGAATTTGAACCTAAGGGAATTTAGAGATGAAAGCTCAATTTTACTTCCATCTAAATACTTTTTTTCTAGGTTTTGTACAAATGTAATGTTTTATAACTATGACAAAATAAAATGAAACAATCTAATGCAAGTGGTAGTCTGTAAATAGAAATTAAAAGCATGTAGATTGTATTCCATTCGTATAATGAATTCGAGTGTAACAAATGTGCGTTTCTTTGGTGTTTGCAAGCTCTTGACAGCATTTTCTCTAAAGATTTAGCCTACCTTTAGGTATTTGGCAATTAATTTCTAATAAATGCTTCTTTCAGCTTTCAGTAATTAGTTATTTTTGGTGCTGTTGTTGAACTGTAATTTATCAAAAGAACCCCTTAGATTACTTTTCCTTCTCTTAAAGTTCACCATTAGTTTGCATAAGATTAGTGACACAAGTAATGAGGAGGTCTTTGCAGGAGCCTGTAGTGCTGTGTGAGTATTTCAGTATTAAAGAAAGACAAATACAAAAGCTAAACCCCCTAACCTCTACTTACATTGATTACTACAAAAAAAGAAAATGAAAAAAATCCTTTTAAATCCCAGTGGCACAGTTGTATTGGTTGTTGGCTGCATGCACAAAACGCACTCCTTTCGATCGAGAAATGGTCTTCGATGCTTACCAAATGTTGAAACTGCGGTGGTTTGTGTGTTCTGCCCATTGATTTATGGGACAATTTTTGAAAACTTGGCCTTTTATAATGGTGAATTTTCCATCAGTACTGACTTTACTATATGCCGCTACGAAAGAATATTTCATGATCTGCTATATGTCTTTCACTTGGTGACATGTCCTCTATTGATCTGATTATCTTGCAACAACTTCATAGCAGTCTGTAAAATCATTCATTATCAAGAAGCCATTCTGCTCTGTCTGGTAGCATATTAAGCATGTTATCAGGTTTAGCTTGAACATTGCTGACCTTTACTGTTATGAATACTGGAGTTTTTCCTAATTGCTTTTCTGCAATGCTAGTGTTAGAACCACAGAAGATAAATGTCAGGTGCTTCCTAGATTTCTGTAACAATGAGAGAGTTATGACAGAGTATGTGATGTTGTTTAGAGCTTATTAACTAACTACATATCAGGATTATTGAGTGTTTTAAGTACAGAAAAGATTGACACATTTTATCAAGTGTAACACAATTAGTTATGTAGATCAATTTAGGCAGTGTCTTATCCCTTCTGTAGTTCATTGCACACACATATATCTCTAGTGAAACTTAATTCTCCAAAAATGGTACATTATTAGCACTCCATCTCTTCTTTTTTGCTAGCAAAACTACTTTTCACCATTTCCTGAAGATGCGTTCCTCCATTTAATAGAGGACATATTTTTCTATATCTTCCTTAATATATCTGGGAGCATTGCTTGATTTTTCATCCCTTCCCATATGCCTAACGTGTTGATGCTATTTTATCGACCTCCTTCTTTGTAACAGCCGATATATCCTATAAGTATGTCTTTTTACCTTGAATCTTAGGTTTGCAATACAGACATGTGCCAGATTTAATATAAGGGGAGACACATTCATAAAGATGTGGGAGAAGAGAGGGGAGGACTGTCTGTGAGGGAGTCTTCACAGAGATTCCTTTGAATTGCAGGAAGTAAGGTCTAGAAAGGTGAACTAACAAAACTAAAAGAAGTGAGGCATTAGTGCCCTGACTGCTAGTAGCCACTGCCCTTAACTGAGTCTGGAAGTTCAGCTCCATGATGGTCAAACAGCTAATAGTTCTTCTAAGGAGCTCCTGAGCCCTGAGAAGCTGTAGGGATGGAGAGAAAGAATGGTAATCGCATGCCAAAGTGTAGATAGAGACTATAGCTATAATGCTTTTTCCAGGTGAGCTTATATGGGAAGGCAAGGGATGTCAATGGAAGATATCTGCTGTCTACACAGTTGGAAGGGAGTGCAATTTGAGTCACAACTTTTCTTTTTTATGCCTATTGTGATTTTCTCTACATTTTTCTTCCCTCCTCTTTACTTCAGCAGATTTTCCATTGTAAAAGTTCCACCTTACTTCTATTCCTTTTTTCCCCTGTGAGATCCCTTTCTCAGTGGGTCACCATCTACTAATTTCCTCAATATGAAAACAGATTTAGACAGCTGTAGCATAGAGAGAAGCATGCCTAAGAACGAAAAGATGTAGTTTATCATAATTAGAGATTAAGGGTAAGCAAAGTATTTATACATATTAATTATACAGAGCAAGGAGTGTCTGATGCCTTTAACAGGGCCAACCTAGGCATAAGATTATACAGAAAAATGGTAATTTTTTCCACTTTAAGTGAAGATGAGGTAATAGTATTTTGATGTTAGGTGATGGCAGTTGAAATAAATATAGCTATAAGCAGATGCATGGCGATCTGTCTAATATAATTAGTATTTGATAACATAAAAAGTCTTTTTAGATTTGCAGTGTAATTAAAGAAATCTGACTTCAGAGAAAGTGAATATATTTAAATCAAGTAAAAGGCATTGGCTATTAAATGTGCTCGTGCTGCTTTGCTGCATCAATACAACAGCTACTTTCATTTTTCTTAGCATTTATTATTAATAATAAATGTCAAGAAAGCACTTCATGAAGCAGGAAGGTGGGCACAAAGTCAGAGTTTATAGGCAGCAGTACAAAGGCAAGACATGTAGTTTGCTCACACATTTGTCTGTTGCAGTAACGAAGGCACAAGCTTTAATGCCTGTAGCTGTTGTCATTTCTGTATTCTAATTGGCGAGCTCAGTGCTTTAGAAGTACACATTCCAGCTAGGTAAGGAGCTCCAAGCAATTTTCACTCTCTTTCAATTTATTAAGAATTTTGTTTACCTTTGTCCAAATACTAGTCATTAATCATCAGTAAACAGAGCTTACTGTCAAACTCATGATGCTCAACCCAAGAACATAGATTCTACTTGCAAAGCTTAGGTAATAACTGCATTGATTTAGCTGGAGTTGCGAAAGGAGCTGGTCCATCATAATCAAACTAAAGACACAGCTGTTATGTATGTAACTGTGGTTCATAACTTCTGGCTGTCACTGCGGAAGACTTAGTTCATCATCATGTTCAGTGGGAGACAGAAGTCCATAGCATTGGAAGATCTTCTAAATGGAGGCAGCAGCATTTAATAATTTGCAGACCTATTTGAAATAAAGTAACCTTGGTGAAATATTTGCCAATTTAAAGCCATGCATTCAATTAAAGGAAATAGTCAGAACAGCGATCTGTCATGTATCAATTATCTACCAAAGCAATATGGTAATTAACACGAATCAGACACTGTTTGTGGTCAAAGCAGTTCTTGCTGCCAGAATTGTATATACAGTAGGAAGAGATTGAGCGAGTAATTCAAAATCTCTGGAAAATAAAAGGTGGTTTAACACTTTCCCTTTATGTCAGTCTCTCGAATATTATGTATTTTTTCTTGGACAGGCTATTTCTTTGCAAACAAAAGGTACTCAATGACTGGGTTATATCCTCATTAATATTTTGAAATGTAACTTTAAATATAAGGTCCCCTCAACATATCAGATCAAGGGTCGCACTGAGACTTCCGAGGCTTGCCTTTGGACCGTGGTGTCTTCCATGTGTTTGCCCTGTCCCTTTTCTTTTCAAAAATATTTATCATCTTAGCTTTCACAATAGCCTGTGGCAACAAGTTTCTGAATTGAATTATGTGCTTTGAGGGAAAAGTATTCTCTTTTGTTTGTTTAAACCTATTGCCTGATCTTTTCACTTCTCAACTTTCCAATCTATTTGGCCTCTCTTGCTGTTTGTGCTTAAGTATTGAAAATCCCACTGTGGTGACTGTTCAGTTCTGCGTTCTGATGGCATTCTTTCATTCCTCTCACCATCACTTCCATAACTTCCTTCAAATCTCAGTACATCTCCTATTACAGATAAGTCTGTCATGTAGGCCACTGGCTTATATCCTCTGCTAAGTCCCATAGCTGGTCTTATCACCATATTATTCTCATTTCCACCTTTATTTTGCCATTTTCCAGTCTGACCACTGCATTGTAGTGAAAGTCACTTGTATTTTCGTGCTGTTCCCCTTCACTAGATTATTGAGTATTTCCACCTTGCTGTCACGCTGACATTTCTCACTAATTATCATGATCTTGC